ATATATATATATATATATATATATATATATATATATACTTTAATTTAAATCGTATTTTAGAGAAAATTATATTCACAAAATCTAATTCACCTGATTTAACTTTACGAAAAAGGCTGCGAGATCCTAGTGGTCAAGGTTTCGGATTCGTGACCAGCGGTTTTCGTTCAGTCGCGGGTTCGATCCTTGGCCGCCAAAGACCGGCCCTGTAACCGGGGCTGATGCACGTTAAATCTGTTGGGGCCCAAAATCCTCCCGTTAGCGTGGTGTGGATGTTAGGAGAGGGGTTGTCAGCTCAAGTGTCATCCTCGTTACTAAACCGTGATTCAATATTACGAGGTCCGTCGCCAATAGCCCTCGTATTGCTTCTAGTGCGACGTTAATAAAAATTAAACTAATTAACTTTACGAAAATTGCTTGGGAAAAAAAGGCAAAAGCAATGCTGAGAACACGATTAATACATATAAAAATATCAGTTGCGAATTTAAGAATAGAGTAAACTAAGTCAAATTAAACCAATGGTCTTCATAACAGGTTTCATACATTAATTTTGAATTAAATCCCAATATTTTCGAATTATTTTATTAGCTGAGTGGGATATATTTCTTATTCTTAATTGATTTAAATCATATATTGAAAACAATTCTTAATTTAAAAGTAAGCGAAACTCATTATATTATATGTTAGGAAAATTTCTGATTAACGTCTAACGAACATTTCTTTCTTTAAACTGTGTTTTAAAAAACTAAGAATAAAGCTTACCGCCTTTTTTCAAACAATTGAGGAATTCAATTTATACATCTTTTTTTTAAAAAAAAATGTTCTAGTTGCAAGTATCTTGACAAATTGAACAGCAAGAAGCGAAAATCTGATTTACAAATTAACACAAATTCAATTGCCCGAAAATGAAAAGAAAAATCTGTTTTTGAGCAACAGCATCAAAAAGAAAAAAGTATATAAAGAAAGAGTTCATGTTTTATGAACGAGATTCTTTACGAGAGTAAAAAATGGATGTTGAAAGGAAATCATATGGAAAAAATGATAACCTTTCTCGAGCCTCTGGAGATAAGGTCTGTTTTACTTGCAAGAGTAACAACGAAACAAAAATGAAATAATATTTTCCGAAAAGAATATTTGGCGAATTGAATATACGTACACTTTTTTCCTTAAAAAGGCTGCTAAGCGAATAGTCGGAAATATTCACATGTTTGATAATTTAAGTCACAATGCAGCAAGATCTTTAGCTTTTCTAATCTAAAAATGAAAGTATTGTTGAAAAAATATTTTAAGAGTTATATTATACAAAGAAATGTTTTGCGTTTCTCTAAGAAATAGATATTTTCTGTGTGACTGAAGCATCTGTAAGATAAAAGTAATTTTTATTGTGAATCTATTTTTTATACGAAAAGGTCCTCTGTCTTTGATGAACAACTATTATAATTATTTAGTTATATATAATTTTAAAGAACGAAATGTTATAGAGGATTTAGATTTTAGAAGTCATACATGAAATGATGTGACTGTAAGTATATTTTTAATTGTGTTACTTTTAGTAAAAAGTGAGAATAATAATATTTAAATATCTGAAGTACGTATAAAATAAAAATGCTCAAAAATTTATAACAGAAGACTAGTTTTTAATGAAAGTCCTACTGATGAATCATTTTCTTTTCTTTATAGACAATCATAAAATCATTATTAGTTACAAAACCAAATTAAGACAAAAGTATACGAATGCTTATGAGAAAATTACATTTTTAATATCGGGTATTTCGAAACTCTTGAGCAAAAATTTAAAATACCAGACTAGTTTCGAAGACCAATTTTTAAAAATTGCTTTTCTGACGAGTTTTTTAGTGTCAGTAATAGATTCAAAAAACAATAAATGTTTATTTATATATATATATCGGTCCCGTTCGATCGATTCCAGCTAAAACCTTCGATCGTGCGCTCCGATTGATGCCTGCAGCGCAGAGAACCTAGTCTGGGAGAAGCTCGACGGGGCAGACCCCAAAACCCCGGTAAGTGACAAGCATATTATAAGCAATGATCCTTCCGCAGGTTCACCTACGAAAACTTTATTACGACTTGTAATGCCTCTAAGTGATCGAGTTCGATCATCTTTCCGACACCTCGTGTCCGTTAAGGAACGGAGGCGCAGGTCCGAAGACCTCATTGAACCACTCAATCGGTATTAACGGCGAGCAGTGTGTACAAAGAGCAGAGACTTAGTCGGCACGAGTTAATGACTCGAGCCTACTGGGGATTCCTCGTTCAAGGGGACAGTTACAGTCCCCTATCCCCAGCACGAAGGCGTTTCATCGGGTTGCCCGGACCTCTCGGCCAGGGAAAAAAAGCACACGCTGTCGCCTTCATTGTATTGCGCGTGCGGCCCCGGACATCTAAGGGCATCACTGACCTGTTTTTGCTCTTTTTCGTGCGGCTCGAAACCGCTTGTTCCTCTAAGATTATCTCTCCGTGAAACATCTCGGAACAGCCTATTTAGCAGGCAAGAGTCTCGCTTGTTATTGGAATTAACCAGACAGGTCATGCCCACGAACTAAAAACGGCCATGCACCGCCACCCACGGAATCAAGAAAGAGCCATTAATCTGTCAATCCTGTATATATATAACTTCTAGTTTTTGAAAAAAATGTGTTTTTTTAATGAAAGTTCAGCAAAATGTATGGTGTTAAGAAAAACAACATAATTAAACAAATAATAGACATAATGGATTTTTGATTCAAGCATATACCCTCTAAAGTGTAACTGACTGCAGTATAACAATTATTTTCAAAAATAAATATTTTATATGGTTTCGAATTTCATGTTAGTGATTTTTCCTTAAAATTACTATATGCTTTGGACCGAAAGAGACTTCAAAATGAGACTGAATGTAACTCTCTCAAACCCTGCGGTTTATTACACTCCTAAGGACTTATTAAATATTCGTACCGAATTTTATTGAATTTAGTTGTATTGTTTTGGAGATATCACATTTTTCGTGCATGACTTATGGTGAAAATTTCAATCTTAAAAAAACATTTAAAAATATATTTACATGTTACTTATAAGAAACAAGTTAAAATTCTCCAATTTTACATGTTATTCTTTCCTAATCCTCAATAGTGATGTTTCCTTGTTTCCCTAATGGACCTAAGTCTTCTTGTGTAAGTTTTTATTGAAGACAGTGAGAGTCGTTTCAATTCTTCAATACACATCTGGCAAGGATCAGAGACTAATTTATCAGTAATTGATAATCAGCAAAGTTTTATAATGACAAACAATAGAAACAGACTTATAATATCACAAATATTTGAATGTATATAAATATATATACATATTGCCTCTAGGTTTTAAAAAAATGTCTTTTATGAAATTATAGCACAGCTTTCAATATCAAGAAAAACAGCATAATTAAAAAATAATAATAATGGGTGTAATAAAATGTTGTTTCGTATATGTACACTTAATAATCCCTCTGAGGTGTCACAAACTGCATGTAAAGAAATATTTTAAAAAATATATATTACATAAACATTCGAAGTAGCCATTAATGATTTTTAGTGAAAATTAATTAAATGTTTTAATCTGAAAGTGACTATAAAATATGATGAAACGTAACTATATCTAAACCTGTGATTTGTAACACTCTGGGGATGTTTTGAAATATTTGTAACAAATTTCATTCAATTTAGGCTGAATGTTGGGAAGATACGCTATTTTCGTGCAAATGTTGTGAAATTTTTACTAAAAAAACATATTTAAAATATATACCTATATTTAAATAAAAAGTTAAATAACTTAAATTTCCCCAATTTTATAGATTATTCCATGTTTTTCCTCTATTTTTATGCTTTGTTGTGGTGAATAATAATACAACAAGGAAAAGCGGGAGAGCGGTAATTTTTTTTTGCTTTTATTTACATTCTCTGCGCGTCAATTACACATAAACAAATAATTACACAATTTACAAATTATACAAGAGGTTTTATAATTTGTTGTTGGTAGTGATCGGCGTTTTGATTCTTAATGCGCTCACTATCAAATGTTGTTCGCATCTGTACAATATTATATCCAGAAACAATGTGCATTTCATTTAATATGCATTACAAACCATCAAATCCATTATTAAATTGCACAACACTAATGTATAAGCACCCAAACACAATGTCTGGTTCTCAACGAATGCTTCTTTGGCCAGTATTTGAATCAGAATTGCATTGAAAGATTCATTGCAAGGACATCAAATACCAACTGAGGTTTGTAATTAAATCAATGATTATGTTCCCAGGCAAATGAACCGATGGATTCTTTTCCTCATGTTCAGGTTTGCTACTCTGTCGTAGCATCATTTCACTTGCAGTATTCTCTCCTTGACATGCTGAATCAGTTAGCTTTTAGTTTCCTGAAAATTTTCTTTTACGAAGACGATATGATCAATGTTTACTCATATTTTCAAGAAAAATTAATTTTAAATTAATTTCTGACAAATATAAAAGAGAAAAAAAAAAAAAAAAAAAAAGCTAACCTTAAGCGAAATAACACGAAAAAATAATGTAAACAAACATTAACAGTAGTCGAAAACGCTGTTGCCAATCATCTGCAACAGATTTGCTAGAAATAATTATCAATAAGTTGTGGCTTAGGAAGTAGAAAATTTAAATTTAGGTTTTAAAACATTATTTTTTTGGAAATAATGCCTTAAAAAAAGGATAAATCATCTACTTCTGGCCTTAAATGTCACTAATTTCAGTTTCGTTTTGAACTGCTACGCATTATTAAAAAAGCTATATCTTGAGTTCAACCTCACATAAAATAAAAATAAGGACTGTTTTGGAATCTTGGAAAAGTAGGACTTCAATTTACAACCAGAAAAAAAAATCAAAAATTTCATCAAAAAACGTTTTTTTCAAACTTGTCGGATACCTTAAGGCGTGATAGAAAGCATGTGATCAGGCAGTTTTCACCCCATAATGCATAGATGAAGAGCAAGCGGTAAACCGCTAGACGATGCTGTAATGAAAAGTATAAATCACGAGGTTTCTTACACAACGTCATTTCTACCATGAATTTTAGGATGCATGGCTGTACTGCACTTCGCCAGGCCTCCTGGAATCCATGGTAGAAATGGCAACAGATGGAAGATATGAGGGAAGTGGGTTCAATACGCACTCACGCAAACACCTCCCTCCCCGTGTATATATACACATATATATACAAGGGGCATCATATAGATTTAATTATTACTAAGATAACTGCGATATCTGGATAAAATATATTTTGTATATTAATTAATCCTTATATATACAATATATTGTAAATTAAAATTATTCATGCTGATTTGTTTGATTCCAAGAAACCGTTGAGTGAAATAACCCGAGTATCGAGAGAACAGAGTATAATCTGTTGAGTTCTGCAATAACAACCTTCAAAATCTCGAGAAAAGTTATGAAAAATGTATAGATTTAGATGATGACTATGTAAAGAATTTTTTAAGAATAATAAAAATTATGTTTCTACCTCAATAATTTTTAGGAACTCTTAAACTTTACAATATTCCAGGATAATAATTAAAATTTTACAATACCTCGTTATATATATACATATATGAAAAGTTCTCAAATTATTCTGGTGATATTGGGTAATTGAATATCGATTTTTTTATTCCTTTTTATTTGACTTTCCCTTAGAATGTGCAATCTTTCTAACTGAACTATTTTCTGTTTATTTGAAGAAAGCGAAACCTTACCACTTACCTGCCAATCCACTCAAGAATCGAGCCTCAATTTTCAGCTGAAGAGGAAATTTCATTTTCTTCCCTCTCTGAGAAAATCATCTGGTTTGTTATCCTTTTCCACGTAATTGAATTTAAAAGTACTTTTGGTTAGAGAGACCGATCGTTGTTGCACTGAGAAAATAAAATCGCTAGCTTTAATTATCTACTACTTATTAAAGTTTGAAAAATCATTCTCAAACTAAAAACGAGTCCGAGTATGTCTCTCAATATTCAGTGTAATCCTATGATTTATAATTCTTTGAATACATAATTATATTAATTATTTTGAAGTTTCAAATATGTGTTTCGCAAATGATCTTGAAGTCGGATTAGAATTACAAAAATGAGTAAGGATTGTTTCTCATAACTAAAAGGTTGAGTGCTTGTTACTTTTATTTGTGACTAAAATATATATTTATGATTGAAATATGACGTTCTGTAGAGCCACCACCTATATCGAGAAACACTTAAATAGCCGCAACAATTCGTGTTAATTTACTTTGAGTTTAAAATGCTACCTCTACACGTACTCTGTCTCCAAAATTTTATAGACTTAATTAACATGTATTTAAAATTTAAATACTTTTAAATGATGCGACATACACATCAACTTAATTTTTAAGTAAATAACATTTTTAAAATATCGATAATAGCTTTAAGTTATAAAGAATTTTCAAACTTTTGTGAGGCTTATTTTTTTTATTGCAAAGCATTCAAGCAAATACTTTGTAATCCGTTACGTTAAGATAGGATAGAATACGCGTTGGACAATTTCGATAGGAAAATTTAAGATCATTCTCAAATTCTTAATGCTTCCTTGACTTCCGTGTCTAAATCACTACTATATGTAAAATTGCAGATTGGTAAAAATTGTCTACATTAAAGGCATTCCATTTCTTTTCTCCTTAAAATCTAAACATGTTTCAGCAGAACAGACAAAAATAACACTCGTCATTTACAATTATACTTGCTTACATTTGAACAGAACAAAAGAATCCTAATCAGTCCGCCTACGATTGGAAATTTTAAAAGAAAGAACTCATATCCTAGGTAAGGATTTTAAAAATAAATTTAAAAAGACTTTTAAAAATGCACAAACTATTTCCTTGTTACTGGAAATCGTTCAGAATTCTGGATTCAATGTTTTGTACCGAAAGTATTCTTAGCATTTTCTAAGATAATTATTGCTTTGAAATCATACTTCTTTTGTAGTAGATTCTGACTGCAAATATTTCCTGCTTTTTTAAGGATTTTAAGTGGAAAACATCGTATTTCCCTTTTCTTAATACAAAGAAACAATATGCAACTGTTGAGTTTTATTCAGAATTTAAGAATATTTAATTTAGTGCATATTTAAGCATTATAGTATTCTAAGTTTAAAAAAGTATTTCTCATATGCAGCCAAATAAATTATTCTTAAATATGGAGTTTTTTGTTGTTCGGAATAAAAAATAATTTAAGAATATTGACACAATTTTACATACTTTTTATGTCCATCGTGTTTCTCTTTTGCGTTATTAATACAAAACTAAAGTTGTGCATTCTTATTAAATGTAAATACTC